GCCTGTATGAACTGTTCAAACAGTCCAACACGTTTGAACACGACAAACTCGACCTATTTCACCGCCATCTTTATCACCTGCTGCTCCTTGTTAACACTGTCACCTCTTTGTCTGTAGAGCTAACAGCAGGACTCTGTCAGACATAGAGGGTCGAGTTGTTCAGTTGAGTTTTTTTATTTATTTATTTATTAGGGACCGAGCCAGCGACCGCTGGAGGTCCGTTTTGTATTTGCTAGCATTTTTCTTACCTATTATTATTATTTTTTGCCCCCTTCAACTGCATTTTTGCCCCCCTGAACATATACGAAAACTCAATTATATTTGACAAAGTTGTCAGGCCTGGTGAAAATGGGATATTCTATGTGTTGCTTTTCGGATTGGCCACTAGGTGGCGCTACTATCATAAAAAATGCATTTAAGCTAATAACTTCTGCATAGTTTGTTGCACATACAAAAACCTTATATCCACGCATTCGGTGAATGGAGCTGAATCTCCCCATATAGCCCCCGCCCACTTCCGGCTATAATTTCGGCTATAATCCTATAATTCTTTTCCGTTAGACCGTGAAATGTCCTTAAACTACTTTTTTCGTGTTCCTCCTACACGCTTTGTCCGATTCGCACGAAATTTTTCACGTAGCACCTGGGGACTGTCCTGGCATAAAAAGTAATTTGAAGTATTTAGATATTTCAAAAATAAGCACGTTATAAAATTAGCACTTCCTGTAAATGTTTCGTCGATAAGGGGGACCATTTCTCCACATTGGTATGTCCGATTGACACCAAGCTTGGGTCCGTACTTCCCCATGTCTATCTTAGGCATCGTGCACAATTTTAGGCCATCGCCACAAGGTGGCGCTCTTTAAAATGAAAAAGTTTATCTCCGCATCAGCACGTGTGATTAAAATGAAACTTGGTACGATGCTTGCCCATGGCTCCCTGAGGCTCGCTAAAAAATGTGTCAACAATCAGCCACTAGGTGGCGCTCTGGTGGCAGGGTAAATCAATGTGCGGAGACCGTAATAGTTATGAATATGAAATTCACAGGGCACGTGTAGAGTGGTGCCTGTAGCTTACATATCAAAAATCGTGTTTGTCGTGTTTGTAGTGTTTGTAGCGCCCCCTACAGGATTTTTAAAAAGCAGCCCCTGCGCCACGTTTCACCGATAAGTACGAAACTTGGTAGGCACGTGTAACATGCCGAGAAGTACAAAAAAGCCTCTTGGACCCATACCCGAAACCCCACGGGAAGTCGGCCAGTTTCATTTTCATTTTCACCATCTGCGAACTTTTTGCGTTGTATTTGAACAAACTACTCCTAGGGAATTTATCGGATCTACTTCAAAATTGGTCAGTACAGTCAAAAAATGGTGCTGATTAAAAGTTGTGCTATTTGTGACTGTACGTTGAAGGGCGTTTCCCTGGCTTTCCCTCATACTTGGCCATTTTGAATTTTGCAGCCATTTTCTGCAATTTTTTGCCTTGTATTTGAACAAACTCCTCCCAGGCAATTTATCGGACCAACATCAAAATTGGTCAGTATAGTTAAATAATGTTGCTGATTAAAAGTTGTGCTATTTGTGACTGTACCTTGAACAGTTGAACATTGACTTTCGACGATTCGCCATGAAATAGATAGTACTCAAAACTTCAATATACAATGTCTAATCTCCACTAAACTTCACATATTCTGTAACAGTCCCACCCTGTACATGTCCTCATAACTTCGGTGTACATGGTCCAATCTCAACAAAACTTCACATTTGATAAGAGTCCCACCCTGAACATGTCTACATGACAGTATTCAGATATAGTGAGACCGCCACCTACTGCCAACAGGAAGTAAGCGCTGCCTGGCAATTTTGATCAATTTTGAGCTGATTTATGGGAAATTTTCATATTGTGGTCCGCACGTGTAACGACGGCACGTGACGCGGCCGCAGCACGCCCTGAGTTGCGTGGAGTGTGAGGTCCCGCCCAACGCTGCTTGCAGCTTTAATTTTACACTTTTATTGTTAAAAGATTGTTGCTGTAAGGTTTTAAAATTCCTGGGGCTGCATTAAGGGGGTGGAATCAGTGACAGTACAAACAGGCCACAGGGCCCCGCTGGTGCTAGCTGCTGTGTACTGTCGACGACAACCCCTTGGCAGTGGTGAGGGCTAGTCAGGCACCCCTACCTCCAGTGGCTATGTAGCTACTAAAGTGATTATACACTAATGAAAACCTACCTATGAATATTCAATATGTGCCAGTAGAGCCTCATAAATGTTACACACTGCAACTGTAAAAGAAGAATAGGCCTAAATATTAGCATTACATTTATCAGGTACACAAACAAAACTCCAAATGAATGCTGATGTTTCTCAGTGTGTGTCGGATGTAGTGGGATAATAGGCTCATTATATTAACTTAAAAGTAAGTCAATATTGTGATTTCAGTGTTGTGTTCGGATCAAAACAAAGGGTAGCTGTAATGCATTTAAACTGGGGATTTTGGTTGCTTTATATCAAGCAGCCAGGGATGGAAGGCTGAGCCTATTTTAGTAGGGAATCGATTTTTAGGCAGAGAGAAACAGGGATCACATAAATCAATAGTAAGTAGTAATTTTTAAAAACAAAAATAGAAACATTCAAACCTTGTATTCATTGTTCTTCGTTTGAAAGTTTTATGATACTTAGTTTTGTACCCTCGGAGGGACTGTTGCTTTCATTCCAGTCTCTTAGACTGTGGCAATTTTATTATTTGTGCTAGCTTCCATACTGATAGTTACTGTGCCAGAAGCATAAATGAACCAGGAAATTAAAAGCTCCTAATGAATAAAAACCATGTTGGAACATTTATGTTCCAGCCAGAGGGTCGTTACTCTAAATTGCTTTACAGAACATGGACTGTAATATGTCAAGAGGTGCCACAATGTGCTGTATTACAACACTTATATCCTAATACCCTGGGATCGAAGTGATGCATTGTTTGGAAATACTAGAAGCATTGATATACCACAATCCTCAACCTTGTGTTAGCTGCTGCTCTGGTGGCCTTACTAATCATATCAGATAATGAATGAAAAGGCCTTTTGAACGAGGAAGCCACAGCTTTGAAAGCTGGGTGTTAGTCCACGGGTGGTCCATTCCCTCTTGGCAGCCATTCAGGCCTGGAGCAAGTTCACAATCTGATTATATTCCCACTTTAATCTCAATAAACGCACCTAAATGAATTAAACCTGGCTGTGAGTGCTGGACATGGAAGAAATAAAACAGTCAACCAGAATGACCATCAAAACAAAACAAGGCAGAGAAGACCATGTATGTCTGTTTAATTGTATCACAGAGATACTTACATTTTATATTACTTAAAAAAAAAAAAAAAAAATCTAAACCATGTATTTCTTTCAGCTCATATTTTCTCTCAGGGCACTGACCCCCACATCAGCAAGTCATCTACTTTAAATGATGAAAGTCTGTGTGGCTGAACTTGAGGATGGCGCTCACAAGCCTTATAGATTCAAAAAAACACGAAGGCAAGAACTTTTAAAGAACAGTGGCTGAGTTGGTGTTGACATGTTGTGGATACTGTATTTATTAAACACTGATGGTCATATTGGTTCAGATGTAAGGAAAAACAAGCAGCTCTAACAGTTGAGAGCAAACGTCAGTGCAGCTTTTTTAGCACATTTGATTGGACAGTCTATAGAGAGGAACACTGTTGTTGCTTGAAGTACACAAACTATATGACCTTTTGCAAGTAAGGTGGAGCAAAGAATAGAGCAGTAATGGAAAGTAACTTAGTATATTTACTAAAGCACTGTACTGTACTACAATTTTGTGCTACTTTTACTTCTCTTGACTATTTTCATTTTCTGCGTCTTTATATGTATAATTTTCCTTTTTCCATCTTTTGCCATTAATTATATCATGACCACTCAGATTTATCTTGTGACCCTTTGAAGGGGACTTGACCCCTAGGTTTGGAAACACTGGACTAAACTACTTGACAGTATAAAAAGTAGTATCTCCACCTCGGTCACCCACAACAGGAAAATGCTACTCATCATGCTATCATTGATGCATTAGTATTAATAATCTAACAATATAATGTATATAATACATTATATTATTGTATATAATACATTATATTATTAGATAGGGGGCCATTTTTCTGCAGCGCAAATACTTTTTCTTGTGATACTTTCAATAAATGTAGCTGATAATATTTCTGTACCATTACTTAAGTAGGAATTGTAACAAGGAGAGAGTTTCACTTGTAATTGAGTATTTTTACATTGTTGTACTGCTACTTTTATTTCTGTGAAACATTTGACTACTTCTGCAACAACTGGAGTACAGGCAGTGGTGTACTTGCACTTTTCCATTTCCGTCTTTGATTCAGCATTACAATGCTGCCATCTACAGGGAACAAGGGGTAACTGAATGTCTGTAACACATTACTGAACATATTTGAGTAAATGTACTTGCTAGCACTGATTATTATTATTTCAATTATTAGTGTTATTATTATTAGCATTATTACACCACAGGTGCCAGATTTGAATTTTGAATTCAGTGGGAGGTTGTGGGCACCTTACAATGCATCAAAACACCAAATTACTACATTCTTCACAAGCTGTGACCCCACCTTAAAGATCCACTTGTAAAATATATGTTTTGTGTTTTTTGTTTGTTTGTGGTTTTTTTATATTTTGCCTTTATTGGATAGGACAGTTGAAGATCAACATTAAAGGGGGCAGAGACTGTTAACTGATAAAATCTATACTGACCAGTAGATGGCACACTCTAGTCAGTGTATGTATGAGAGAGCTGCCCTGTGTGGAGTCAATCTTTTATGTTCAGCAAGGACATTAAAGCTAAATAAACAAGAGTCATTATACTCTGTATAGACGCAACATTGCATGTATTTCCAGTAAATATGGTGCATTAGGGTCACTCACCTCCATCCAGCACTTTACATTTTTAATGAACGTCACAAGACAATAAAACGAGACATTTCTGTGCGGTTTCATTGATTTATTGTTTTGTTAATGTTTGTGCAAGGATAAGAGTTACAAAAATCTACAGACTAGACATGATAATATATCCTGTTCCTATCATACAATGTTATTTATACAAGTATCCTTTAACAATATGTATATATTCAATCCAATGTACCTATTACACTTTAAAGATATATTGATCATCCTTATAAGACAGACAACAAACACCACCAACAGTAAACAAGTTCATCTAAACAACCGCACAGCCTGAACTGACCATGTGCAATCTAGACATTATGTAAGCTTCAATGATACTGATGTGCTATATCATGTTTCTAGTACAACTTCGTCAAAATGAAAACACAGAACCTACAAATGCAGCACAGTTCCCTGTAGTGTTCATAAGTGCATTAGTCACTTGAATTGTAGAAGAACATTTTACTTATTTATTGAGGTAACACAACTAATCTTTTTATATAGAGAGATGACTATATTATAAGAACATTTTTACTGATTTTCATCTTTATTTCCTTGTATTAGTTATAGGGGTGGTATGTCTATGTTCACAATAATTGTCTCTGTTCTCTGTGTAACTGTAGCCCTGCAGCTGGGTCTGCTTCAGCCATCCACTGACCTATATTGAGATTAATGAATGAAGGAAAAATATAGTTTTGGCTGAGATAAGTTTCATTTTCTCGTCTCCTGTTATAAGGCTTAATGAGTACATTTTGGAACAGCTTGCCAGTACTGACATGCTGTGAACATTACGAATTAACGAATGTCAGAGTCACAGTGGGATTGTAACAGTCCTGGTCCACTGCTGAGGAAATGCAACAAAGGGAGGCAGAGTCTCAGGTTGATTGTACTCCTGCACTGCTAACAGTTGACCTGGCCCAACCCAGGCTATTGGCCAGTGGTTCTGCCAAAGTCAGTGATTCTGCCAACGCCGGCCAGACTGCAGCAGCACCACTTGTTGTGATGACAAAGTTTCCTGGAGTATTTGTCCTTCAGTTGCTGACCAAATCCCAACCGAAACACTGCAGTGAGTTTTAACGGGACTGTTTTTTCTTTGGAACTTCTTACTCCTCTTGTGGAAAAAAAATAACTGAGCATTCCAAGAAAAAAGGTTAGAGGATGTTCTGATTTCGTTTAGCCATCATGTGTAGCATTGGTGTATGATTATATAATTTTTCAAATAAGTGATCTGATAAGTTTGTTTGTTATAAAAAAAAGGAAAAAAAGGTAGCCAATGTGGGGGTGTAGCGAGCACTGCTGTCTGCAATGTCACTTCACTGAGTGGTTCCAAAATCTTTCTGTTTTTCAAATAGTGACTCAGATATGGATATAATTTCCTTTGAATCAGCAACTAGTGGCCACTAGAAGAACTGCAATTTAATGCAATTTTACCATTCAGCCATGGACTGTGTCTGAAATCACCCCTCGTTAACATACCCACTTCTCCCCATATAACAGACACTCAATAGTTTACTATATTCACTAACAAGTGTAGCGTCACACAACTGTAATGTATCTGCATCTGTAAATTGTGACACATTGTTGGCAGAAAAGAGTTTACATGCCATGCACAAAACTTTTTTTTTGTTCCGTTGTTGGAATTTTTTAAGGGCACTACATAGATGTAAATTTTCCACTTAGAGTGCAGACATTCAAATAAAATGGCATACGGTTAATATAGTGCACTACATAGCAAATAGAGAGTGGTTTCAGACACAGTCATGGTGTCTGCCTGTTGTTGGAAACCTTTCTGGTATATGCTGGCACTTTTGGACAAGGTTTAATAGACTATAGAGACCACCAGCAGAGACTGAACGTCTACATAAATAGTGGTAAAATATTCCCTTAAATGTTCCCTCATAACGGAACATGAAACCAGATACAAAGTCCAAGCTCACAGCATTTTTGTTACCTAATAACAGGAGATGTTTCACTGTCAGATTTCAGTAAACAGAAGTATTTTCCAGTGCATCCCTTTTTTATCCAGCATGGCTATTCAGCATTGTAGCATTATTTAAAATCATTCTCATAGTTTTAAATCATATTTCTGTGTAATATTGTAATATAGTACATTAACTTGTCCACCAACGAGTCAATGTGTGGGCACACAGTTGTCAGAAACCAGCAGCAGCTGTCTAGCACTATACAAGATTTGTGGTAAATATGCATCATACAGACCAGGTGCCAATGTGACGGTCATCACAATCACTCTGTATCCACAATGTTCTTCAACCACTTGACTTGTGACTGACTGGAGCTACATGTTACCTTGTTTGTCTGAGGATGAGGAGGAGGTGGATGGTGATGGGGAGGGAGGTTTGGGAAAGACCCTGTCAGTAGGTGTGATGCCTGGACTTCCCAGACCAGAAGAACTAGAGCTGCTGGAGCGGTGTGGTCCCTGGCCCTGTCCAATCACAGGAGCAGGTCGGACAGGTCTGACAGGCGGGGGCCTTAGAGGTGCACTCGGTCTACGTGTTGACAGAGCAGGTTTAAAAGTGGTCATGGTCTCAGAGGAGGAGCTGCTGCTGGTACGTCGCTGTGCTGCATCTGGATCCCTGATGACCATGGTGTGGAGAGGGCTGCCAGGTGGATCCTGGGCTCCACCGGGGTGTTTGAGGGGCTCCAATGTGTCCAAAACAACATCAGGGGCATGTTTGGCTACATTCTGTCGTTCCAGCTCACGCAACTCATGGAGAGCTGTATTCATGGTTTTCTCTATGTCCTATGACAAACATGAGCAGAAGAAAAACATGATATCAAACAATCAGGCAAGGGGGAGAGATGTACCTATGACTTCCCATATCCAGTTGTGTTGAGTGACAAACAATGTAAATAAGAGGCAAATTGTAAAGCGCTTCAGATAAATGCGTCATAAACACTTCAAAGTCAGCTACTACTGTGCCCTCAGAGCAGTATTGTTTAGGGGGGCACCAACAAAAATATGTGTATATTTCTATTTACAGTCAATATCCTCCTGAAAAGATACTAAAATTCAGTATGAATAAAATATTAAATGTTAGATGAGAAATGTTTTTAGTGCAGATGCCCATAGTATATTGATCAACCGAAGTAGTCTACAAAAATTTAATGATTTACGTAGGGTTAATGTATTAATGACAATTCCATTTTTTAAAACTAAAAATAATTTGTAATGCATACAGGGAATAGCATTTATATACTTTGAGTATTTGGGATTTTTCTTTTTTTTGGTGACACATGACCTCATGTGTCCCTCCCACACAGTTTTGAAATCCAAAACGCACAACCTATGTGCGTGACTAAAATCAATGTGCAGTGTCTGAGTCAATGGAGCTTCGACAGTATTAACACTCACCTCAGCTAGTGCTTCAGCTTCGAGGGCTTTGTGATCTCCTAAACTTGCATGCCGAGTGGTGCTGGGTGAAGATCGCTGAGAGTGGCTGTCGACGAAGGCCTTTCTGTCTGGGTGGTTGATGCAGCCAGCACTGCCAAAAGTGGTGAGACGCCGTTTCTCCGGACTGTCTGTTGGCCCTCGGCTAACAGCTACTTTGTGTGGGCTGCATGGCCGAGGCATAACCCTAGGAGGGTGGTCTGCAGCTCGGCTGGGGCTGTGACTGTCAGCGCCATTCCTGTGGCGTGGAACTGCTGCTCCATCTGATCGCACTCTCACTCTAAGAAATATCACAGTTTGAGACTTTATCAGTTAAAAGTTCTTGAATATACTTGTTTGGGGGAATTTACAATACAAAGAATTTTTTGTTGGTAAAAAAAGCAACAATTAATCATGTCTACACCATGTATACAATGTGTGTATTGTGTGTGTGCTTGTGCCCCCTCTCACTACCTATATATATCCCTGGAGTTTAAACTAACCCCACCTTCCCATTGCTGCTCCAAAGCGGTGCTCAGGTGTGTGTTCGCAAGGAGATTGGCGGCCAATTCTGGATGAGGTTCTTTCATCGTGGTGTAGTCCGCTGCTGGCTGCACTATCAGTCCTCTGAATGCTATCTGAGAACGCGTCATCCCTGATACAGACAGACAGAAGAGACTGATCCCCATTAATGGCTTCTGTCCGCAGGAAATGTTAATATTGGCTTTTACTTTGAGAGATCAAACTTTAAACTTTTCAAAGTTTAATCTAACTAAGAATCCTTAATAATCACATACTTGCCACAAAAACAACATAATCACAAAATGTCCTCAGCAGAGTGAGCCTCATTACTTTTACAGGCCAAATTAAATCACTTGTCAGTCCCTGGAAGCCGCTGTTGGTAGTACATACATCACTAAACGTCTTTATTTGGCTTTAATTTGGTTACCTATCCAGGAGTAGTTATCAGGCAAGAGGCTGGAGCAGAAATTAAAGGCTGAGGAGTGACCTAAGTGCTTGTCCAGTTCAAAAAAAGCCCCTCCTTACTGCTCTACAGCTAATTGCTAATTAGGGGCCCTTTATGGGGTCTTTTCTGGTTGTGTCAAGAAAACAAGAAAAACACGCAGAAAAACAGGAGCATTTTATTCCCACTGATCCTTACAAAGGCTTTATAAGACCAAGCTTTTTGAAAACACAACACAACTCACAAGGACGGTAAGAATAGAAACATGCATTCTGGGTAAATAGAGCAACATAAATAATGACCAAGCCCAAAGTAGCTGTTGTCCTGCAGCAGAACCAAGGTACTGACTTCTTGACTGGATCACTTTTGGTGGATTTTTATGTTAAAATCATGTCTGTTCAATGTAACTAAAATCCTTTATGTGTTTTTTTTATGGGGGGGTTCACAAACAAAATATGTCTTACTCACATGTCTTGTACCACAATGTACTGATGTGGGATCAGCCCATCCACACCGTTATGTCGGCCCTCCCACCAGTCCTGAGAGGCTCGGAGGTAGAGTAACAGAGAGGCTCCCTTCTTGAACGAAAGCTCCCGAGGACTTCGGCCCACATAGTCAAACTTTGCTATGGCCTCAATCTGCTCCACCTCTGCAACACAAAGAATACAAAGTACAACACAAAGAAAAGTGACAGAATACAGTTTGAGACTTCTGACTGTTTCAGCTCTTACAGGTACTGCTGCGGTCTGTGTTTGGTGACTCACCTTCATCACTAGTGTTTGGTCCAGTACCATTGTCAACCTCGTCAAGGGCTCCTGGCTCACTGTGGGGGCTTTCACTGCATGGAGGAACATGGAGTCAAACAGTCAGGAACACACAGACAGTTCTTCACTCAACCAAACCAAAATCAATTTCTGACTCAATAAGATTTTAGTGTCTCTCGATTTTTCATCCCATTTTTTGTTTAATTCTTTAAACACAAAAACTTAATACAGAAAATGAAAACCAAACCTCAATCACTTGCGAAATGAAATATGAAATGTTTGTGAAATTACAGTAATAATTTATGGGTTAATTTGTTTTGTGCAATCCAGGGAATATCACTCAAACTGGTGGTAGTTTATTCATTTTAAGAATAATTACCTATTTTAAATATTATCTATTTTGGCAAATCTCTCTTCAAATGCACAATAGACACATTCTTTGTAAGACTCAACTGAACATCTAAAATGTATAATTATGGTTATGGTATAATGTGGTTATTGGTGTACTCAAACATAAATTAACAAACAAATACACTGAAATACTGCTGCCTGACAGTGGCTTACAAACAAGACACACAATAGAATAGAAGAAACTATAGAAACCATTACTACTGTGTACTAGAAAAAAGGCTATATCCTATCTTAGGCTTTTTGTCTGGCCCCAAGATCATGTCCAAAGGGCTTTTAAAAAAAATTATTTACCTGACAAAGCAGTGGATAAAGTGTTACTTGGTATAATCTGTCCTCAGTTTAGTTTTTCACTCTTACTATGACCACTCTCTACATAACAAGGAGACATTTCAGTATTGAGTATTGTGCCAAATGTACAGTGTTTAAGTTAGGGTAAAAAGTGGAGAATGTAATTTTTTTCCTGTTAAGTTGTTAACACGTGATACAAATGGGTGGTGAATGGCTGAAAATGAATAGAGCTTTTATTGATCGGGCTTATCAAGCTTGGGATCAAACAGCGACCCTTATGATAAGTGGACTTCTCGCTCTACCTCCTGAGCTACAGCCGCCCCACAAACTATATACTGACACATGTTGGACGCCTTATCTTGCACTTACCAGTACTCTTCCCCACCAGCCATACACTTTTCATACACAGGTCCCTCCAATTCACGCTGGGTCGGGAAGATGGCCTCATGGTGGATGATAATGGTCTTAATGACCTCGTTAACATGCGCCTGGCAGGACACAGGGTCCTGGTCATCTGGTATTGGCATCAATGTAGGACCAAAGCAAATAGCCAGGTTGTAAGGGTCCATCATGTTCTCATCACTGTACTGTGAAAGGCTGGAAAGACAGAAGCATTTAGTATCACTTAATAAGGGTAAACATGTTAAATTAGTTGTGGCAGGACTTACTGATTTAGAAATGCAAACAGGTATCTCATGACGATGATCACAGGCCGCTGAAGAGTCACAATAATCTGCTGAAGGTGATGAGCTCTTTCTGCACCTGAGTCAAGCTCTGAAATAAAAAGAAAGACACAAAGAAAGAGTAAAGTATATATAAAAAGCAGCACTAAATAAAAACTTGAAATGTTTCAGATGTTTTCCTGGAATGTGACTCACTGGTTGTAGATATGAGATCGAGGAATCTCTCTTTAGGGAACAGCGGGTTTTCCAAGCCCCTGAAGTAGAGCTTAAGAACGCCTGCCACAGAGTTGATGTCATGATCGGCTTGATCATCCACGAGTGGATCCTCTCCTAAAAACATAGTATACATTTAATCCACTCATTAATAATTCACTACTAACAGTATTCATGTACCATGACCCTGACACAATTTCTGATGTGTATTTCAAGTTGGGAGGTTAATACAAACATTGAGAGTGCAGTTATGTTTCCTCATTTATTATTACTCCAAGATGCTGATCTTATGTATTATGCATCTAAAATGGTTTACATGTCCATTACTGGATTACATGTGACACATGGGCTCATTATTTGCACTTTAGAGGCCTGTGGGAGAGACTGTGGCTTTTGTGGTGGACAAAACGCAATTTAAAATCAATCAAGAGAAGATGGCCGAGCACACTGGGACTGACCTCTTTCAAATGCATTTTTAATATCGTTGACTTCGACCTGGGAACCTGGAACTCGAAATATACCTTGCTGCTGAAGACCTGTGTACAGACAGAGGTATCAGAACAAATGTCCATTCATTGAATTTCTTTGCACATTTACAGTATGACAATAGTAACCAGTCCCCACAGAATATGCAAAGCACATAAAACCAAAATATCTAGCTATACACCTATACTGTGAGTGTAGGTATGTACTGTAAATATGTGACAGAAATAGTGCAAAATGGTGTTAGACCGGATATGAAAGACCAGAGCAGTCGGCAGCAAACAATACACGTAAGAAGGTGTTATGAGATTAAGGCTTCACCCTGCAAGAAGATTAATTAAAAGATCAACTGGAGATTATGATCCAAGGTTGATACTTTTTTGTGAGTTGGTTGTTTTTATGTTCCTTTAACAGTAAATGTATAATTTGCTTTTATTCAATACTGGATGAAATTATCTGTCTTCACTATAATATTCACAAACATGGTCTTTTCAATAATAAGTACTTGCCCTTATGAGATCTGATTTTGTCAGATATTTCAACAAATACAAATGCTACTGTATGGCTATTTTTAACCAAATAGTTCCAGGAACTATGGAGCTATGGGAACAAAACCAGGACCTAAAAAGTGATGATGGCTTTTGAAACATTTTGGAAATACAGAGTCTTTGTGTTGTGTCCACCCTCCGTGTTAATAGTGATACAAGTGGCACATAGTGCTTTCTTATCTTGTGAATGAAGCTATAAAGTTGTAGCAGCTGCAAGTTTTGTGTTTGCAAAAATCAGTGATGTCCAGCACTGCAAAGTCTGCCCCAGTAGTACCTGGGTCATTAGGAATAACTACCCCAATGGTGTGGACTTTTGTGGCACCAGGAATTATGGTGGAGGTAATAATTTAGTCCCTGGTACCTCCAGTTCTTAAAAAAAGTTCCTTTGGCGTAAAAGCCCTATTTGTAGACAACAAAGTCAGTCTAGGAAATTACAATCAAAAATATAGTACATATGCTTGTTTAATAGCTTTTAAGACTAAGAAATCTACAAATTCACAAGGACTAAGAACATGAACTGTAAGATTCACTGACACAACTGCTCAAGGCAATAATAACATATATTACAAAAATGTTAGCTTATATAAAAAGAGGGAGATATGAAGTATGAGAAAGCACAGGTTACAGTGTGCACAGTACATTTGTGTAAAGACAACATATGAACACAACAGGAACCTACCATACAGATTGATGTATCGAACGCAGCTCTCAACCACCACTGGTATAGGCTGTCCTGAGTCCTACCAGACAGATTCAAATGATCATTATTGGGAGCAAATAAGCAGAAACAGTAGGAAACAAATTGCCATGCCAGAAGGGTTTTACCATCAGAAGATTATAGAGGCAGTCCCTCAAATGAATTAATTTGACAGAGTTGAGAGAACATTGTTTAATGTTTAATGTTAATGTTTTTTTAAATAACTGATGTTATGTGCATAGAAAAAAAGCAATAAGGAAATCACGTTCTTTGCACCACCATATCTTATTATTATTACTGCAGTACGTATTCACAGGAATGCCAACAGAACAGAGGCACAGAAATGTTGGTTAGCATACTGAACACAGTGTGATGATCCCGCCCTGCTATAAGACAGAGTACCTGACTCCTGGCACGGACATTCCGTCTTCCCCTGGGCAGAGAGCAGTAAGGCACGTAGACAGAGGAAGAGAGGCAACAACAACCACAACAGGTTAGTGAGAGAGACAGATTGTACAGAGAGAGAAAAAGAGGAGGCCTGGCCTGAGAGAATAGCCAAAGCATCAGTGCCTTGTGGGGTGTGAGACATGAGGACATGGCTCGGCGGGGGGAGTGTGTGGGAGGGAGGGTGCTACCCGAAAGTATGGGGGTGGAGGCTACAAACATTAAAGCATTTTTTCAGCCAGGAAGTTGACTGTTTGACGGAAAAGAAAACTAGAGGCTAAATTCTAACTAATTACTTACTTTCATTATTTATTAACATTGATTATATTAAATGTCAGAATTTGACAAATTATATTCAACCAAAAAGCCTAAAGCTAAATATATAAATTTATTCTCAGACAAATAAAAGGAAATCACAAATTAGAACCTGGAACAAGGAAATGTTTGGAAATTATAACAATATTTTTTCCTGCTAATCGACCAATCGTTTGAGCTCTACTGAATCCTGATGTTTATCTCCACTGCTGTTGATGCACACTCGGTCTGCCTGTTCCCTGGTTTGATTGAGCATTAGAGTGGATGTGGCCATGTGTTTATTTGCATAGCCTAACATGGCTGGTGCGTGGCCAACTGACACTCATGAAGCCAAATTAATTCAGTGTCTGGAGGCTGCAGCTCACAGGAGAAAGAAGAGAAAACCCTGCACCAGAGCAGTAATTAAGAAATCAAACCAGCTCCAAAACTTATTTGATTGGTTTTTTACCTCACCCTGTCTTTCCTGAATTGCAAGACTATGAGGACAAGGCAATGAGAAAGAGGAAAGACAGTGCGTGAGTGAGCCAACATTTGGGTAAAAAGAGTGGGCGAAGGCAAGAGAACCCCCAAGGACTGCTAGCGAGACAGCTGAGCTCATGGAGAGACAAAGAGCACAGATGGGCTAATACCTGAATGAAGGCCTCCATATTGCCGTTAAACAGCTTACGGTTAAAAATGGAGCGAGGTCTAGACTTCCGCATTCTCTGGGGTTTAGGGGGAAGAGTGGGGGGCCTGGGGAGATGGTGGGGGGGTGTATGGTTGGTACATGGTGAATAATAATATGAATAATAATGCAACAATCAAAATACATTCTGACATTGACATTTTTTTCTAAAATGTATTTGTTTCATGTATTCACAGTAAGTGGCACATACACAAAACATAATGTTTGAAACAATTTGGGAAATACACTTATTTGCTTTCTTGCCAAGCGTAAGATGTAAAGATCAATTCCACTCTAATATCTGTGCACTAAGTATGAAGCTACAGCCAACAATCGGTTAGCTTAGCTTAGCACAAAGAGTGGAAACAGGGGGAAACAGCTAGCCTGGCTCTGTCCAAAGTTCCAAAGTCTTGTTTGTTCAATCCGCACAAAAGGTGAAAAAATGACATGTTGTGATCTTGATTCCAATCTTTATGCTAAGTTAAGTTAAGTTCTGTTACTGGTAGCTTCATATTTAGCATAAATAAAATCACAAGAGTGGTTCAGCAAGTAAGTAAATAAGTGAATTTCCCTAAATATCACTATATAACTATTCTTTTAAACTGACCCTTAGACATAGCTTCTGCAGCAAACTGTATCTAACTGTATAAATCTGTGATAATGACTACAGAGAATTATCACATACAATAAATAAATAAATATTTGACTGAATTTAATGAAATGTACCAGAGATGAAAACAGGTAAAAGTATTAGCATTCACCCTTGTATTCAATTAGTTAAGAGCCTGCCTTGTCAATATTTGTTAATTTTCTGCTCAATAAATTGCTTATAAATAGAACAACAGCGGGACATCCATCTCACTGGCATTTCATTTCTCAGTCTGAACATATTTTTATAGATTCAAACTAGAGAGAACAACTCTCAGCACCACCTTCTCTAATTAGGATCAAACCTTTTGTTCAACAAAAACTTCTATTCCCACACTGTGATCTCATTCCTGCCACATCCGGGGACACAGGAGGGATTTTACACATCATCGCCTACTTTATTCACCCTCTTGTCACTGGACATCTTACCTTGTTGTTCCATATTCAGCCCTCTCCCCTAAAAGGAAAAAACAGCAGAGAAAGAGACTAAATTAGTATACACTAGTTTTACAATCACAGAAGTTAGCTGTACGGTTGAGTGCTGGCCGACTATACAAGGCTGGCAGATGGAGACGGAAAGGGGTGTTATGAGAAAGCGGGCATCTATTCAGCCAGCCTCAATGGGGTGAGCGCCACTGCTGTATTTGACTCACTGCCAGGCAGCGGTCATTCAGCGGTCGCCCTAGAAACGGCACAAGAGCCCCAGAAGGGGATAGCCTGTCTACTCACTCTGCAAAGTAGAAAATGTATCCAGGGGCAACAAGAGTGGGAGGTTGTGGGAGCTGATTTGTACAGTATGATGATTTCATGATATCTGCTCTACATTCGCTCGCACACACACACACACATTTCACTATACGCAAACAAATTAAGGCCTCACTTTGATCAGTCAATCAGAAATGTTTGTTCAAGGATCATGTCATGTGTAAAGCAGCTTCCAGCACAATCCTACTTTATGTCAAACACATATAATTCCAACCCTAAAGAAGACGTTTGCATGAGTCTGAAGTAGAAACACAATGACAGTGAATATACATTTATATTCACTCTCTTAATGATCTGCAGTAAATATATAAACATATATATATATGCAACAATATCTATATACATACACACACAGGGAATGTATGAACAAGTACAGTACTACAAGTCTGAAGGTTTTTTTCTACCCCATAACCCTATTTTAGATCCAGAAACTACCAAGCTGTCAAGTGAATGACAACATTATTTTCATGAGCATGGACAGAGCTCAAAATGGATCAATTAGATTCCTCAACCTTCTTGCTGTAACCAATTTCTATTATTCTAAGTGTCCAAGGTAAAAGGTTCTGTGTGCTTTGGTTGGTGCCACTTGAGGACTAAATAGTTATTTTCATCTTTGTTGTTTAAAATATTTTTTTCATTGAAATGGCCAATTCTACCATATACACTCATATTGTATAATTATATTTGCTATTTATATCCACAACAGTCAAAACTATGTAATGCCCCACAGATCAATATAAAACCAGCCGCTGATGCTTGCAAGATTTTGAGGTAGCAACACATTGACATGAGACGATGAGCTTCCTTATTCACACTGGCAGAGGTTAATGTGCAGTAAATATATAAACAGACGATGGTATGTCATAGCCTTCAAGCCAAGTACTTCTCATCATAAAGGGTAGGGTTTTTCTAGCCAGTGAGTCAGTTTTGAAATTGTCAGGTAAATGAAAAAATCTGTATAAATTCTGCATATATTCTTTTTCCAAAAACACAGAGGCAACATCCGATGATATAATTATAATATATAACTGAACATACATAGTATTTAGATTGTATGTGATTTATCTTTGTTGAAAAGAAGCTAGTGAACTCTTATTCTAGTACTGAAGGATGTTTTTCTATTATTGGTGCTTTACCTGCTTAACACTAAACTCAATGTAAAATAGACCCCCAACTATTACCTCCACTTTCCATTCCACTAATAAATAACACAGTAAGCCCTACCTTCTCCTAGCGTCTGCTTCAGAAGGTCATGCTTGGCCTGCAGTTTGACAATGAGATTGCTGCCATTCAAGTACTCCTTGTATTTCTGCAGATGGAACAGATAAAAAGACAAACAGTGGCAGGATTATTTCTAGTTAAAGTGTGCTGCAGTGTCCTTGTGCTCTCATTTGTCTGAGAACTCACAGTGAAGTAGAAGCCCTCGGTCTCCTGCTGATTGGCTCGTCTCTTACTGATGTTTGCCTTGCTCATGTAGGAGTCAGAGGAAGCTGATTTGACCGACTCTGTGGATTGGCTGTGCTGGAAGGCCTCTGACACATCAAAGTCCTCCACTGTGAGCATGTCCTGAAGGGTCTGCATGGTAGCATCAAGAGTCTTCCTCACCTGACACACACAGCAGACAAACATAATTAAAACGTCACTGCGAACAATGTCCAGAATTACAATATCTTTGTTACATATATTAAATATATGAAATCGGTATAAAATTAACTAGGTGAGTTGTAGACATAAAAATACCAAAGAGTAATGTAATCATACCTAATCTTCTTTCCAAATACATCTTCCCAGTGTCACAAACAAGCTTTATAGTGTAAACAAGCCAGCACAGTCTAAGATTATACCACTTCAGGCCATTTTCACAGCACTTTGCCTGTCACACTGTAAACAACAGAGTAATTAGCTTCCTAGCATAAAGCATTGTGACATGAAAGATTAACTATGTTCCTTCCACGTTAAGCAGACAGGAAGGCGATGCGCATTTACATATTCATAACAGACAGGCTCTGACTCGTGTGCACACCCTGGTGACCTTTTAACAATTCTGTGTGAGTCACAGTGGCCCTGGTGACTCCGCTTGCTGGGGTGGCTCTCAGTGGAGGCAGGAGATGACCCTTACAGGTCAGTGTCAGATTAAAGATGAACATAAATGCAGGGTGACAGTCCTGAAGACTGGCTGTTTTTTGTTGCATGTTAGTTTGACAGAAGTGAGGGTGTTGGCTGCCAACCCCAGTTTAAAATATAGCAAAGTCAAAGTAGGAATAAAATTGCCTCAGCTGCTGTAAGTAAGACCCCATAATGAGGAATGGTAACTCTTAGAATTATTGCCAGTTAGAGGGTCTTAATAGAGAAGTCTTTTCAAATTAAGTGTTTTTATGTCCCATCTTTCAGTTTGATGTTTTTGCTGACAGATGAACGAGAAGATTCATACCACTTTCACACCTTTACGGTAAATATGGAGTTAGTTAAGCTTAGCATAAATCCTGAAAACAGCTGGCCTGGCTCTGTGCAAAGGTAACAAAATCTTCCTTCCAGCAACGCTAAAAGTCACTCATTACTGTAATATGTTATATTACATAACTGCCTGTAAAACCACAGCTTGTCATTTTTACACAAACAAGATGTAGCATGTTAACTGTTGAGATTTTAGAGGTGCTGCTGGGTGATTTTGACAAACAGAGTCTAACTAATGGCTGTTTCCCCGTTTCCAGTCATTCTGCTAACCAACTGCTGGTTGTAGATTCATACTTAACAGCCAACTATGTGAGCTCTACTGATCTTTTCATCTAACTCTATAAAAAAAGCTATAAATGCCAAACTGTCCTCATAAAACTGTTACATTTTGGACCATAGAAAACATTATAATAATATAATCTATAAAAACGTTTTCTAAAAGACTTCCACGCTTATTAATATTGCACCCTGTTACAGACCATCCTACTTATATATAAGCAGATATGCATCTTTAAGACATCTTCCTGTTTCTGCCACACGTAGTGGCACTTGATTGATCGTTTGAATGATAAGACATTTGTTTCCTGCCATGGTGTTCTGCAATGGCCTCTGCATTTTAAAATTTCACTCAGCGACTCAGACTAATACCTGCACATTATGTTATTCAGCATACAAGGTTTGTGTTTTTATGTTTTTCATCACAATTTCAGATATAACCACTCAGCTGAACAATTTCCTGGAGCAAACCCTGCATTTATTGCATACAAATGATTATCCACAAAAGAGTCCAAAGACATGAAACGACCCATCCACGACTACATTTGATGGTTTAATATCTTCATACGACTCAGTATATTTAGCCATTGCCCGTCAGCAGAGCACACGGTGTATAAAACACTTGCAGTGAGCTTGCTTCATTTTGAGATGAAATGCTAACACTGGCTGCCTTCAGCCCTCTGAGACTTGGGTGGACTCTCACCTCTTCATTTTCTATCTTCAGTGTGGCCAGGCGTGACTGCAGCTGGTGGTGGCGCATCAAGAGCTCAGTCTGGACAGGCTGCTGTGCACTCACCTGACACACCTTGGATTAAGAAAGAAAGGGAACTTCACCAGGAGGATTTAACATAGAGAACAGCAAACACGACGAGATGCACTTTGTACCAAGAACTAAGACCCACAAACAAAAGCATTCTTACGGCCCTATCCTCTAGTGACTCACCTCATCCCCCATGTGTGGCTGATAGTCAAAGCGTGCTGGAGGACAGAAGATCTGGCTGTGCGTGTCCATGAACTTCAGCTTGTCTCCTCTGATGTCCATGGCATCTACTGCTCCCTCCAGCAAGTCCAGACCCTCATGGCGAGAAGTCTCCAGGCTATACTCTGCAGACAAGTAGGTTCTCAGGGTGCGTGCCAGGCTTGCATGGTAACCTAAGTCACAACACTGAGGACAAGAAGTAAAACATATAGTCATTATAAACCAATAAGAGGCCTAGAACTAATAAAGGAAGCACTAGTTCTTTCAACAGTCAGATTTTCAGCTCTGACAGTAATAACTTACATCTATCATGTCCGAGACATCATGGATATAATATTTGGCCACCAGGGCATTGGTACCAGCCAGATTGAGCAGATAGTCGTTCCGGGCCTTTGTGCATTTCAGCTTGTTTTCAGAGTACTTGGCTTGTCTCTAGGGAGAAAAAAGCAAGAGAGTCCCATCAATGCAGGATGTAAAATGGATTCCTAATGTACTCAAAGAATGCATTACTACATCAATTTAATTTTCTGATCTTATGTAATCTGTCAATATATGTAATACTTTGCACAATGTAGAGATGGGCTCCTTCTAGCTTTAACTACACGTTCCAATGTCATTTGTGCAAATAGCAACTGGTGAAATTGAAGAAGATCATTACGAATGCATTTGCAGATCATTTGTACTTGAGTGTAGATGCCTGTAATGCACAGCACATAACATCATGTATAAACCAGTCAACCCAAACAGACCTTCTCCTTCATTTTCTCCATCTTCTTGACAGAGCTCCGTCGCTGTGGACGTTCATCATGTCCATACCGCAGAAGGCTGGAACTAATGTCATTGACCTTGCCAATGTGCTTTTCTTCCTGTTTCTCTGCCTCCTTCAGCTTGCTCTCAGCACTGATACTCTCAGTGTGGTACATGTGGTACGTCTTCATCACCTGTAACAGCATACATCTTATCTTAAACTCAGATAACCAAGCTAGTAAGTACTAGTGAAAAGGGATGTGACTTTGAGGAATAGAATATGCGTGCAGAATGACATGCTGAAATGTTACAGTAATATCAATCCATAGCTGGCTAACTGTGTCCAACACCACGATGGCACATTATATCAAAAAATGCCAAAAAAAAAGGCCAAGTGTATTCAAGTGCATGTCACTTTTATACACAAGATAAACTGACTATCTATATGAATGCAGTCTTACATCTTCTGGAATAAAACCAAACTTCCATCTATTTATTTACATACAGGCGATTTAAAACCCATTCATGCTAACATAAGCTTAAAGTAGTCATGGAGGACCTGTTTGGGGTCCCTGATAATCTTACAGGTTTTATAGTTCAGTATTCAGCTGTGCAATAGATCTGTGATTTCCCATTAATTTTAGAGCCAAGTGACAACACTTCGCAATCACTTGGGGCCGTGAAGCAGAAAAATATATGAAAAAGTCACAATGCTTTGTCAGTATTAGCAGAATATCTACTCCAAAAGAGGTTTAATCTATGTGGATATATTATATAGTTGTTAAATAATATGTGCTGGTGATCAATTTTATAACGACATAGTCATGATATGGTTAGTTAAGAGACTATAAATGTTTCCCAGCCCGAAGCGTATATGAACTTAGGTAACCCTGGAATATATTTATCTTCATTACACTCGTAAACATTAGGGAGTGTAGCTTAATCATTATGCTCATGGGAACTTCACAGTTTGATTGGCGTTTCATAGCTGAGCCGGAGGTGTTGTGCTGGGTGTTTCCTTCTGAAGAGTGGACATTTTTGTGTTTGTTTGCCTTTGCCGCAGCATTGTGGTAGGTAAGAAAAATATCCTTGCAATGTAAAGCATGTTCTGTATGTTTTATTACAATCGAAGCACTGCTCCAAGTACAACCGAAACTCCCACTGTTCAATTTGCTTTTAGGAATTTAAACAGATTCCTGTTTCGTGGTGTTATTAAACACGTGTCACATGTGAATGTTTAACTAGTAACCCAGCATCGACAGTGCAATTAAACAACATCTGCTCCTCCATCACTCACTCACAAGTTCTGGTTTCCTAGCAACCCTGACTGAAGCGGACGTGCAAAGGACAGTGAGATCGATCAGCAGGGGAGGAAGGAGGTTACACAGTGACAGTGAGCAACCTTCTCTGCTACAAAACAAGAAACTACTTGATTTCCACAAAAGGCCAGCAGCAGATCAATAGCAGGCTGACAAAGACAAATCCTTACTTAATTTTACATTTAACTCATAACTGATAAAATAAACACGTTATATGTATAAGTTCTAAGTTTCATTTTAGCTATATAAATTTGCTGGGAATACTGCAATTCCTTATGCTGTGTGTGGGAGCTGCAGACAGGCATTTAATAATGCATGAATAAGAGAGAAAGGGAAAATCAATATCAGTAAAGCAGTAAAGTGCTGTATAATGTTACATGTGAGAATATTTCTCATGTGGTTTATATCATGCAAGTATTTTATCTATTTGTGATTCACTGCACATTCACTAGTTCCAAACAAAATGAGTGTTAGTGGTCGTCAATAACCACTCAAATCACCCTGCAATCAAACCGTTTTTGCAGGGTTTTCTACAATTTTATGTTTTATCCCAATCTTATGTATTTTCTAAACTATTTCTGTAAACAAGCACAAACCATGTCACAGACTCCCTTGTGCAGTAATTTGACAAATTCTGCAAAACATCAAAGCAGCACTGAGCAGCTTTTTGTATGCCTCTACTCCCTGTCTTTAGGGGAATCAAATTGTTCACTGTAAAGGTTTATGGAGATTGCAATTATTGTTTGGGGTCACAATTAATTTTACAGCACCATGATAAATGTGTCTTAAGTAAAAGACCTAACTCTGAGTTTTTTAATTATCTTTGATTGATCACTTACAGTATTTACCCAATAACATTCCAGATGTAATGCAGATGATTAAGTGGTCAGCAAGTAGCCAAAGGTGGAGTTCTACACATCAGTAAGAAAATTACATAAAATAATAAATGAAGCAGAATAGTAGTGTACACCAAATATCTTAAAATGTGTGTGTTTGAGACAGGTCTGGTCTTTTTAACCTGGCAGGGAATTCAGTTCTATACAATGTCAGACCAAAAACAGTAAGATCAATTTTGCAATTACAATACATCTGACACTACTGCAAACCCATCTAGGTGTAGAAAATTAATCAGTCCCATAGAGACTTTATCAAGATACTAAAGATACTTGTACTCTTGCTTTCGATCCTGTTTTAAGCAGCTTTTAAATTAGCTCAGTCCTAAATTATATAAACTTCCTGCATGCTTGATATCTTTTTTGCAGATTAGCTGTTGAACAACAACTGAGCAATAAGACCTAGAAGGAAGCACTCTGGTGTGTTTGTTGCACCGTGCCCCACATACAGCAGATACTATCACTGCATCGGTTCATTTTCATCAGCCAAATGAAGAGGCATCAGCACTAAATAAAGCAGTTTTATATTTTTTACCACCACACAGACCATTTCTGTATGTTTAACATCATGTGTGCACATGTTTCCACGCGAAATGTCTGTGCGTTCTGTATGTACAGTACAACATTAAACAACAGACAGTGACAACTGTTACCAGCACACACACAAACAGATGTGTGTGATTACATGTAACATTAGCTGAAAAAACTACAGCAGCTCTTGTTTGCTGTGAGCACAGTGCACCACTGCAGCACAAACTGCTGAGTCCACTTGAAGCACAGCCAGGGGCAAGAACGTTCTCCCCTTCAAACTGGTGTAGAAACTCACAGTAGGGGGAAGAATGCAAATTTTATCCTTTCACAACCTCAGGAGAAGGAAGAAATGACCTGTTAGAGGCTGCACTGCTGATAAGGCATATCTGCTGTGTGCAGTGTCAGGCCAGCTGCTTTACAGGTTACAGGTTCAGGTCTGAAAAAAGCTCAGGCTCGGGCTTGACGAGCCAGAGGCAGCTAACATAGGAGGAAAGGCAAAACAGGCAGGTTGGTGTAGACAAAGAAAGGTTAGGCTCGAAGGGGTAATTATATTTGTTTAACTCACTGTGTAGAGCTCATTGGTGACTTTCACTAACTCCTCATGCATCTGCACCCCGATGTCTTTGCTCTGTAAAAGAGAAAAACAGGTGATAGTTTCATAAGCGAAAATAATGGCACAAGGATGAATTGAAGCAGGTATTAAAACATCTAACGCTAAGAACTGGGTTATTTAAGAGAATTGCCTTCCCACAAGTAAAAAACTTGAATGCTGTGTGCCAGTTCCATTTTGTATGTGAGGGATGTCAGCAGGCGTCGAAATGCTGTCATTACTCTGCACCAGAAAAGATCTAATACAATGCCCAAAGTGCACATGCAGACAAAAATAGAACAGTGCAGTAACTGCAGAACATTTCCCAAGGAGCTGTGTCACAGTTTCAGCTCAGTTAAAGGGGCTAAAGGAGCCTATGATGAATTGGACATGTCCCATGACAAGGCTTATAGCCCAAGAGGAGGAATGTGGCCAGTGGAGAGTGACTCTGAAAATCTGGTTGAGTGGATATGAAGCGACCTTTAGCCCAATCAATTCTGTTTTTTTGCCACCTTCCAGGGGCCACTTGTCAAAACAGCAACTTTTTCATGTGACAAGAATTTAATTACAGCACATTCAGTACATTTAAACTTTGTTCGCCAGAGTCGATTCATTCCCTTCCCCACATGTGTAACTCATTAGCAGTGAGACTGCACTGCAGCTGAACCAGGATGGTACAGCGTAACAGGATTATGTTTTGGAGAATTTTGTCACAATTTTAGCTAACTTCTTGCAGAGAAGGGTTTTTATTCTGCAGGAAGTTATTAATCCTGCTCTGTGTGCTGGCCATTAGCCACCCCATTCTCATCAAGGCTCCCATCATGACAGTGCAGAGCCCCCTAGAGGACATAAATTACTGTAGACTCCTGCCCCTGTCAAATAATACTGATCTAAGATCCCCAGGGCAATGTGGGGATAAAGCCCCTGAAACACAGGCACTCATATATTACGTACATTGCGCATATGCGTAGTATAACTGAGAACAAAATGTAAATACACAAATGTATTCTATGATGTTAAAATATATATATGTATATATATGTTTCTTTAATAAAAGAAACAAGTTGCATCTAATTATATCTGCAAGTTTCTGAATGAATCCTAGTTAAAGTGAATTTGGTGTGAAATGAGTAGGAGTAGGGGTGGAAAGAGTGAAGAAGGTGTAAAGACCACCAAAAAAGGTTAGTGATCTGAAACAAGGAGCTTGATACTGAACTGAGCATGATATTGAGAATGACAATACCCATGATGAATGGGGGAGTTTAAAGACGTGGTACTCTTGCACTAGCCAGTGTCTACTGGAAGGCTTAAGTGGTGCAATTTTAGGTAGCTAAGCTAGTCTGATGTGCATCAACCTAATGGCCATTACTTGATACCTGGCTATGAAGTAGATGGGAGAGCCTTACATGCACAATATGTATTGTAACTTAAGCACTGATTAAACATCACTGGTCACAAGACCACTGGTCAAGAGACATTGATATAATAAATCTAATCACATGATATGCTGTATAAGAACAAGGGCATGAAATACACTGTATGTCCTGATACATTTAAACATATTTTTACATATTTTTGTCTGTGTGGCGTCAAGTTCCCAGCTGTGGGCATCAGTCATGCAGTTTGATCAGATAAGCTCTGTGACTGTGTGCATTAGTAACGGTCAGGGTTACATGCCCTCATCCATTTAATTCTGATTCTGACCTTTTTGAAAAGTCTGATGACATCCTCGCCCACGTGTGCCAGACGGACAATGACGTTGTTGTTGTAGATGTCACTGAGAGTGGCGTGGTCTCTGCTCTCCCGCCTGGTCTGGTCCAAGACCAAATACCAGCAGTTCACAGTGGACACGAGATTCTGGTCCTTTCTGAAACAGCAAAAGAAAGAGGATGTAGACTAATACAACTGCAACATTCAGGCCATACAGTATATTGCCCAGAAGTAAGAAAAACAGAGTTATTATCTCAAAAGTCAACAAAGCAGCTCAAGTCCTACACATAACAAGTGTTACATTATTAGTTCAACTCTTATCAAATCACTGAAATCAGGCTTTGAGTATCATGTCTGTGTACTGTAATGTAAAAGAGGACGAAGACGTCTTACAGACTGCAGAAATCTCACATTCAATCCATTGGTACCAGTTTCATATATTAGAAATCAAGGGTCACTGCACATGTGGTGAGGAATCAGCAAAAAAGGAGGCAGCTGTGCGCACACACACACACACACACACACACACACACACACACACACACACACACACACACACACACAGAAGGCATGCTGACTGCACTTGCCTCTTTGCTCGAGGGAGCATGTGAGTTCAATTATCCTCACACCAAAGAGTTTGTTTGTCTTCATCTTTTGTCTTTAGAGAACATTTAACTGTTTTTCTGACCTCCAACAAATGTGACTTCAATAAAAAAAATGCTGCATCATGTTACTTTTTATGCTCAGCCAGCTTAAAAGCTGTCTGTAAAAACACCTTTTGTTGTTGGCTGATAGCTGGCCTATGCTGGGATCCAATCCAAAACCAACTTTATTTCTCCTGTAATAGCTGGTAAAAGGAAGAAGTAAGGTTAAGACGAATGATTAAACACTTTGCATGTCTTTATTGACAGGGAAGAGGACATCCAAAAGGAAGTTCCAACCCTGATTGCCATCTCTGCTGATTTGAACCCACAGAACCTTTTATTATATCACACAAGCTGTCAGTAGCTTTAGAGAGAGTAATGACCTGTTTCAATTTGTAGAGCAAAACTGCCACAATTATCTATTTATTTGAGAACTTGATTTTCTAAAAAAAAATATTTTGACTTTCACATGTTAAACTGTGCTTATGATTTGTAAGGCTGCCCACTCTTCCTTATTTTGACAAAAAACCACTGCACACACTGAGCATGGCTACCAGAATACAGGACAGAGCTCCACCAGCAGCAGCATCTTGACCTTAAAGCTCAGGCAGCCATCTCACAAAAGGTATACTTCGGTAAAGATGAGTGATAAAGTGATGCAATCATTATAATGTGGCCTATTGATTTTCATGAATGGCTACTATGGCTATCTATTACCTACATTAAAACATCACTCGCTATTAGCGATCTGCCACACTGAATGCTGCCTTTTCAAAGAGTTCGGTCCAGCACTCAGGCAGGGGCACTGGTTGCAGAGCACTGTAGGTTTACACACCAGGCCAAACAAAAACACAGAAAAGCTGTTATCAAGAGTGCCTTGTTAGCTGAATGGTTACAATGCATATCACATGACCACATGTGCGATCGTCGCTGAATAAAATCTAGACGGCAAACTTTGTTGCAAGTCATACCTCTCTCTCTCCCCCATTTCCTGTCTGCCTCTGTCTCTGATGCAGCCACGAATAGACATGACCAATGGGTCCTTGAATGACTAATATACATTTTAGGATTCATTTATTATTTCTGGTAAAGCATTTAATCTAACAGAAGAATCTGGCCTCTAAATTACAAACTTTACAGACACTGTTCTATTTAATATTACAGGGTTCTGCTTTTCACATGGCTTATAGGGTGTATCAGGGGTGACAGAGAGGAGGAGTATCGGAGTCTGGTGGGGGACTTTGCTCTCTGGTGTCACACTAACCACCTACAGCTCAACACCTCTAAAACGAAGGAGCTGGTCATTGATTTTCGGAGGTCCAGACCAAGACCGCAACCAGTCCTGCTAGAGGGAGCTGAGGTGGAGGCTGTGGAATCATACAAATACCTCGGGCTGTGGCTGGATAATAAACTGAACTGGACAACACACACCAGCCACCTGTACGGGAAGACACAAAGCAGGTTGTACTTCCTTAGGAGATTGCAGTCCTTCAACATCTGCAGCAAACTGCTGTGGATGTTTTACCAGTCTGTGGTTGACAGCGTCCTCTTCTACACTGTGATGTGCTGGGGGGGGCAGCATATCCAAGAAGGCCACCTCCAGACTGGATAAACTGATCAGGCGGGCCGGCTCTGTGGTCGGTATGAGGCTGGACTCACTGGTGACGGTGGCAGAGAGGAGGATACTGGACAAACTGCTGGACATTACTGACAATGCCAGCCACCCCCAACCAGAGGAGCCTGTTCAGTGAAAGGCTGCTCCTTCCCAAGTGTAGGACCAACAGACTCAAGAACTCCTTTGTCCCTCATGCCATCATACTCTACAACTCCTCACTCGGGGGGGAGGAGGGAATAGGGTAAAGAGTACAGAAGGGAAGGAGTGGTAGCCACTCACTGTGCAATAATAATCTACTCACATACATACCTGGACACTCTTCTTCTTCTTTGTGCAATAACTTAATCCACCACTTAAGTGCAATAATTTAATTTAACTGCTAATTTCTGCTAATGTCATTTATCCACTGTATAATAACACAATGACACACACAGTCCTATATATTTATCTATATTTATCCTCTATACAGTTCTCTACATTTATTTTATTTTACTTGAATTTTATTTTACTTTTATTCTTATCTCTACTTTCTATATTTAGCTAAGAGTTTATTGTTTACTGTTTATTGTTTACTTTCTATATTTAGCTAAGAGTTTATTGTTTATCTTTATACTTCTTTTATTTTCTATACAAGTGTTTTGTAAGCTGCTGGAAATTCAATTTCCTTGAGGGAGTCATCCCAAAGGGATCAATAAAGTGAAGTCTAAGTCTAAGTCTTATCTTAATACTTTTCACAACTGAATTAAAGAAACATTTTATTGCTCTAAAATTGATCTTTCAGTTGATGCAACTAATTGTACATTACTTGTTGCTATTTTAGGTATGGAGAACCTCAAGGTTATATTATAGGTCCTTAATTATTCTGTATCTGCATCTGCTGGTCAAATAATACATGTTTAGTGCAATCTTTTTATGAATATGTTAACAGCATTTTATGCCATTGACAATATGACTAATTTAAAAACCTAGATGCTACTGTATCAAATGTCTTTAAAACTATGCCTAATAAATCATTAAACATTCATAATTATTTGTTGGACTCTCTGCAAATCATCTGATCTTAGACTGTATCTTGACCTGAGGCAGAAATGCAGCAGTTATTTTTTACTCTAATCTCAGTTTTGAAGAGAGAGTAGATCTGACTTGTTTTCTGTCAACTGCTTCAAACCTTTATCCTAGCAGAGATTTATTTATGCTTTAATTTTCTTTCCAGTGTGAATTATTACTGTTTTCGTGTCTTGGTGAAGCTCACTCTAATCTTCAGCTAATGTTTGCTTCTGCACTATAACAAAGAAGAGAAATCATATAGGCCCCATTCTAGCTTACTCTGTGTATCCAAAACAATGCTAAAATGTAATCATAAACTGGCGTTAATATCAACATCTGTTGAGTTGCACTTAAGTACAAGTTCAAACCACATTCAGTCCATCCAGATCATTTTTACCTGTAAATTATCTGTTTATTATTATCTATAAAAGGACAACTGAGAAGACTCTACAGTTCAGCGACTCCTGTCCTGTCTGGGTGAAGGATGTTACAGCTGAAACTTAGTACAACAGAACAGCAATATGAAACGTTCTGTGTCGACAGTGAGTTAAAAGAGTTGCACTTGTGATGCTAAAGGTAATCCAGTGTGCTGGGCATCAGCATCTTCTTTCTGCTTTCCCTTTCATCCCTAACACTTTGATAAAAAACACGAACAAACTATCCCTACAGGCCCTCCTTTCAAGCAGAGCAGGTGTTTGATCCTGTACATGGGATGCAAGGGACCTGACTGTAAATCTTTGGCTGTTGGCTGCTCTTGAATAAGGATGAGACTGTAGTATTCAGGACACAAAGGAGTTGATGCAGAACTGTTCAAGAAGATGACAGAAGATAGTTTTCTACCTGACAGCCTACAAAAAGTACAGCAAACCCCGTTTCAAAACAAGATCTCTGCATCATAAAGTAAAATATACCAGCAAGCTGAACTACGGTGAACTGGCAATGCAAACACAAACTGCATCTATTAACTATTGTAAAACATGTTGGATATAAATTGTCTTTTCAAAAAGGTACACAGAGTCATGTTCTCTTATGATCACATTTTTGCTGCAGCCACTCTATTAGAGAAGGTTTTGAAAATGTTCCATGGCAATCTCCTGCCAGCGCCTTTATTAGATCTGACACCAGAAATTAATATCTGAAAAGATCACAGATAAGAAAGAAGGGTGCTGCTCACTGGTTTTGGTGTTAAAAAAAGGAAAATTAAGTGAGTCTAGAGCCAGATCTGAAACTCCAGAAGACCGCGTGGGATTATTAATGATAGAGACTTAGTCGGTCCATTGTAGTCTGTGAGTATGAATCTAGCCTTTGACAGAGAGATATAATGACGACCATTTAATGTGACGGGGGAGAATCTGGGACAGTGGGGTGTAGAGAGAAGTCATGCAATGTGAGTCTCTTGCAGGGGTCTCCCTTTGAGGGAACGCTCCATTTATCAATGTCTCAGTGACGGGAGCTTTCCGCCATGATTACGCTTTACGTCCAATTGGCCGGAGAGACTGAAAGAGAGACGGGAAGACCTGAATAAACCAACGTGTTTGTTACACATGACTGACACAGCCAGGTCACATGAAAGGCTGTGCAATTGCCTAAGAATCAATTATACCATCTGTACTGCAGTGCTTTAGGAGGTAAGTTAAATTTCTTGCACTGCTAATTCAAAACTACAACACTGGTTATCAGAAAACATTAAATTCTCTTTCCTCTTGTTTATGACCACTGATTTAAATTAACCACATGGACATGGGCAGCATATACAGTCAGGAAATGGTCGAAAAGTCACAGTGAACTGCAGGCTGGTCAGAGCATCTAAGTAGGAATTCCTCCATAAGCTTCAGGGTATGTTTGTTTCATGACCACAGCTCTCCCTTACACAAACATTAAAAACAGTTTATGTCAATCTAAGCAACATAGCCCATATTGTTTTTTTTCCTTCAGAATCCCAACGGAGGCTCTAATTTATTTTCTGTGTCCATTGAGAAAATATGAGTATTTTGGTAGCAGTCTAGCGTGAAGTTGTTTGAGAATGGAAATGAAATGACAGCCACATAGAAAAGCCGGGGCGGCGGGGGGGTGGGGGGGTGGATAAAGACTCTGACCTAGTTGGGAGAAACACAGCAGCCTGAGGCCACAAGCTTCCTTGGCCCTGGCTTCATTTCAGGTCATTTCTTCTGCTTTTATCCCTCCTCTCCTTTTTGTTGCTTATCCTTCGTCTGTCTTCCTCTTTCTCTTTTTCCATCTCTCTGTTCCGTGCCAGTGATCAGTATGAAATATGTAACAGTTATTTATCAGACTAACACATTTGATACAGACGTTCCAGTGCTTAACAGACAGACAGTGGGGAGACTCACTTGAAATGCTGGTGCTCTCTGGAGGTGCGGATCTTGGCAGAGTAACGCTCAGCCAGTTTGTCCAGGCCTCTGGAGTACTCGAGCTGGAGCTCAGCCTTTCGACGGAAGAACTCCTGCAGGTCCTGCAGCAGCTGCAGCCGGGACTCGGACTGCTGCTCTAGACAACGGAACTGCTCCACCAGCTGGTTACGGATCTCTGAATATCAAAAAAGGGAGACCAACTTCAGAATAAATAGAGCCTCTCTGGGGGAGTGGGCTTACATGCTGGGCTGCAGGTCAGCATTTAACCCACAATCTTTCAGCAATGGACTGAGCATAGCACATGATGTTGTAAATACAAATATATGAGGTCAAACACAAGCACTAACAAAATAACAAAGTCATCATAATTGGGTAAAACTGGATGTCAAAGTCCATTTATTTGCTGTGTGTATGTGAATGTGCGTGCAGTGGGAGGGAGCATGGGGGTGTCTAAATGCTGGGGTAGCACACGTGCATATGAGATGCATGTCTGATGATTGCAGCAGACAGCACGGAAAATATAAAATAGGTCAGCTTCTCAAAATGCATTGTGCTGAGCGAGCCTTCAGAGAAGTTTGTCTTGAAAAAAACAAATTGCAGGCATTCTTTCAATTACAAGACTGCTGTGGTTTTCTGCTTAAGAGGTTTGGAAACTTACTGCTCCCATTCATAGTCTGAGAATGAGGAAAAATTATGTTTTGGTCTAAAATGTGAAAATATGGTTGATAAGGTATTCACAAATAGTTTGATAGTTTAGTTGAGTTGAAAAAAATGATATGCTTAACACTGCATTACAATGCAAATGAACAATATTTCTAATATTAATAATTAATTAATAAGTATTTCCTGTTTCCTGTGGCACAGTTGACATGTTATATGTTGAGGTCAACAGGCATTCTGGCTTCGGTTTCCTAGAGTTCATACATCAATAATTTACCTTTAACATGTGTTGAAAAGGACACTGCTGTAGCTTATGTGTTAAAAGAATAGTTAATTAATCTAGATTTTTCCGAATGAACCAGGAATCCACAGACTCCCTGCTGGGCTGCTTCTATTGGCAGTTGGCTGATCCTAAATGTCTCTGGGATTTCAGGTAATAAAACTGTCCACTGGAGTAATAACATCAGTTTTATGGCCTTACATTAACACTGAAAAGGAATACAAATTACATTTTATTTCATCCATATATTGTTTATTGCAAAGTTGCCATAAATCCAGAGGCTAAGTGGCTGCTGAATGTGTGGCTGCAGACGAACCGCAAATCATATCACAGAGCCTATAGGGCTGAGGGATATGTTTGACACTACTATCAGGATATTTTTAAGGATATATTCCAAAATCTCTAGAAAAATTGCAAACGTACACAAAAATAAAATAATGAAACTGATGCGGATGTTATGCACAAACAACACCAAAACTCTATATATACATCTACATATGTATGAAACAAAAACCTTTTGTGTTTTTAATTACAGATTGCTAAAAATAATCAGTTTGGAGCATAGACATTTGTGGCCAATCTCTCAGAGAGCAATGGAAGTTACTGCCATATGTACCATGCTAAACTAACTTACTGGTGAGCTCACATCTGTGGTTATACACACTCATACACACACACACACACAGGGGGAATAAGTAAAGCTTCTCTCCCTTCAAGACAATAAGAAGTCGTTGAGCAACATTGAGATGGCTGAAGATTCCATTATGACAGACTGTTTCAACCATGCACATGATTACTGTGCACAGAAAGTACTCTGTGGGAATTTATCAATGGAAAAGATGGCCCAGCAAAAGAAAAGCCCTTTTGTTCACTTCTAAATGCTGTTTCTGTATCTAGAATAAAGGATTTGAAAATGCCTCCCCCATCGTCCGTGAATGAAAATGTGAATGAAAGAGTGAGAACGAGAAAGAGTAAATATGTAGTCCCTTGCTGTTTGGAAATGTACCCCTCATGGTCCCCATAGTTGCCCAGTTGCCTGGTTACATGCCTCTGGAGGCATCTCAGTGAGAGCAGGCCAGTTCCCTGTTCTGACAGTCACAGCAGTCAGTCTGTTTAGCATAATGGCCAAGGACAAGGGCAACTTTCTCTGCTCAGAAATTCTCAATAAACTGCCTGTGCTGATGAACGAGGCAGCAATCAAGTTCAAAATAAGAAAAAATGTCACTGTGATGTACCCCTGTGCTGAAACAGACCACTGAACAACACAATTTGTTGCCTGTGTGACTTTACTCATTTTTATCATACAGTGAAAATGTAAAACAACAAGCAGACATAAAAGTAATCAAATCAAAATGGATTTAACTGCATAATTTTATCAGTGAGACACCAAATAGACTCTTGATATTTGCATTCGCTCTCCTGTGAGCGTGTTATTTTTAGAACTTAAACTGTTACTAGGGACTGTGCAATACTGCACTACATTCGATAAATGATTCAAGCCTTTGCAGAGTAATGCATAATTACAAGGAAGCTGACAAGGAGATCAAGTGAATAATATGCCAAGACCCAAGCCTCATAAGCTAAATTCAGTCTCTTTTCTATCTTTGTATTGATGACACAATAGTACAGATGTCCTGAAATTAAATGCAGAGTCATATGCTGCACCGGCCTCTCTGCCTGGGAAGTGTGTGTAGCCAAAATGAATAAAACGTTCCACACCCAAAGGCTTTTGGAAATTTCACTAATAGGACTTTACCCATTTGTAATGTGTATTTTTCTCCTAACCCATATGGTATGTTCTTTAACAAGCATTTTGAGCATAAATCAATTGCTTCCAGAGACTTGAGGGAAGCATTGAAGCAGAATAAAATGAAGAAAATAACTTCTCTAGCTGCTTAGGTCACCAATCTGTTTTTTATTGAGAATTGGGATATTGGTGCAGAGTTTCAAATACATAAAACTGAAATCAAACCCCCCAAACATAGAATTTCCCTCTGCTGAAACGTCATTCACCTCACCCACATTGTTAAGTCATGTGTGATTACTGTCTGAAGCTTCATCCCTTAGACAGGGCAAGTACCTGCCATAGCTCAGCTGTTATGAGGCTTTGACCTCCTCTCTTACCCTGAAGTTCAAACACAGCACGTCTGTAATCGCTACATGAATGGATCTCTGACAGATAATGTAATGAAATGGGGGGGAACTATTGCCTTGCAGGGTTGCCAGATAGGCCCCTGTACTGCTGCAACAGAGAGCACCAAATATCACGTAGCGAAGAGTCCTTGTCACCACAGTAGGCTGCCCAAATTAGCCTAGCACAGCTATTGCAATGGCCAGTAGCAGTCTCCGGGGCTGTGTCTGCAGTTAGCCATGCGTGGCCAGTCACATGTGGTCTAACCCAGACTGACACGTTGACATAATTTGGTACAAATCAAGGCTGTGTTCTGTGAACACTTGTCTTCTGAATACAGTAATAGCTATGGTATGCATTTACAGTCTCTTTGCTTGAGTTCACATTTCCTCCTCTTTCTATCTCTCCATACAAATATGTCTAACAAGGAAAGGCATCGCTGTTCATGCAGCCACAGGACAGGAAAATCCAGGACGTAGTGGGCAGAATTCCAAGCAGTTTAAAATTCTTTAAATGTCTTAACTGTGGGTTTGTGTGTGTCAACACAGCAACAGTGTCTCATACATGTTACCACGACACAGGAAACAAAGATATTGTTTCACTGTTGCAACAAAACCCTGACATTTCGAGACAGTATCATGCTAAGCATTCCTGCTTTATGATGAATACACATAGTGGGGTGTGTCTATGCTACTGATAATGGTGGCAGTAGTCGTGTCTATAGTGAGATACTACTTTGTGACAGTCGGATTGTCACCAAGCCACTACAAGCTACAACTACTACACTACAACTATCACAAGGTTTTATATTTCAATTATTTTTGTAATGTTAAGGAACAGATATCCATGTAAAGTCAATGTTGCACACATTCTGCATTGCCATGTTCCCTTAGCAACAGCAAATACAGCAAATCTTACAATAACCAGTTAATATACTCTATTTATGCATGAGAATAAAACAGCTGGGCTCCAAACAGACCAAATGGCATTAAAGATAATGTGGCCTGCAGCTAGAAGTACAGGATGATGCATGATGAAGGGCATCCCCTCATTTCCTTTTGTTTTGCTTTCTGGATCAGCAGAAAGCTACCAGCTACCTCAGGCTGGCCAACTACACTCTTTAGAAGAAAATATATTTCATATTTAACTCAAACACTATAAAACACAAAACAAAAAACACAAACACACACACACACACACACACACACAAAAAAAACCTTGCATCAAGTACTACTCAGGAAGACAATTCATGTGTTGGTTAAAAACAAACAAAAATATGATTGTAATGCTGATAATGACTAATCGATTACCAAGCAGTATCTCCTGTCAGTGAATGACTGTTCAGTCATCAATGAATCAGAGATGGCATCTGACAATAATCATAAATACACACCCAGTCCTGTAAAGGACCCCACTGTTTGCTGAAATGGGGTGTGTTTTAAAAAAAATACTGCAAAGTGCATTAGGCTTGTTCCTGATTGAACTGCTGTGCAGTCAGCAACTCAGCATTATTGGAGGCCAGTGTCAGTGTCAGAGTAAAGCCCCCACAGCTCCAAACCGATCTAAGCCCAGTTTGCAAATGAGCTTAAGATGTCAGCTTAAAAGCTTTTCCTGAAACTGAGACGAGAGACGGAGCTGTGATGGCTCTCTCACAGCCACAATGCTGGTGTGGAGACCAGAGACAGAGAGAGTGGGAGAGTGTGAAAGAGTGAGAGAGTGAAGCAGTCAAACAAATAGACAGACAAACAAAGAGAGTGACAGGGAGAAAGTAAAATACACCTCTCTCTGCAAAACGCTTATCATACTCTTCATTCCAGACACATGTTCATAAGCTTGGGTAATTTCTGCTCTATGTATGATCAACAGCAGTAAGGTCTTAATTCAGTCTTTAAAAGCAAAATTAGATTTTGGTGAAATATGTATTTAGATACCCTAATGACTACATCAACCCCAGTACTGACCTCAATGGCATCACTGTTTCATCAGTTTCTATGTACTTTACTGGATGTGGACCTTTATTAAAGTCGTTTTTGTTGCCATTTAAAATAATGAAGAGTTTTGCTGTGTATGTATTTGGGTGTAATTTTAAATTAATAAGAACACGACATAAGTACTAAGTAACAACAATAATAATTTGCCAGGTTAGATGAGAGGATGCCACTCTCATGTAGCTATATATGTTCAATAGGAAGCTACAACCAGCAGCCAGTTAGCTTAGCATAGCATAAAAACTGGAAACGGCGAAACAGCTAGCCTGGCTCTGTCCAAAGGAAACAAAATGTCCCTACCAGGCCTCTAAATCTCACTTATTAACATGTCATATCCTCTTTGTTCAGTCTGTATGTGTGAAAACAATAAGTTGCGGTTTTACAAGTTCTTATATGCTGAATTATTTCTCTTGACTTCAGGAAGTCACTGCACCCAGCTAAGAAATAAGCTAGCTGTTTTGCCCTGCTTTCAGTCAGTTTTGCTTTAAAATAACTTTAAAATTGCCTTAATTGTGCTATATAGACAAATTTGACTTTAACTGGCGGCATGAAAGCAAATATGTGTAATAAGTGAAACCAGACGAGGAGATATTCTGGTTTATCGTTGTAACTAATTCTAAAAGAAAGCCTATGCTGTGTCTCTGTGAATAAAACCCGCTACATGATACTGGGGGAAACCACAACTGTGAGAAGGTGATGCACAAAGGTGTTAGAGTTGACACTGCATTAAGTTGTCTCTAAAAGACTGAGAAGACAGTCCTCCTGCACTGTCTACTGCAACACAGCGTCAAGAGTTCCTGACTCTCTCCTCTCTCTCCTCTCTTTCTCTCTCTCTCTCTCTGGGTGGTTTATCCAGTCACATATTTAGCGGCAGACAGTAAAATCCTTTCATGGTTCATAATTCATACAGACAGCATACATTATTTATGGACTTTCCGAAACAGTTTGCTGTGTGATCTTCTCAAGCATTCCTCTCTCCCTCCTGATACTTGTCCTGGAGTGTCAGGAAAATACACACTGCCCACCACACTGTCTTTTAAAATGACATAAATGACCACAATACCATTTAAGTTGAATTTTGAACCATATTTTTAAAGGGAGAATTTTTAAAATGTATGCAGATGTTTCCAAGTGTCCTCTGTGTGGTACCCGAGGTGCATGGCCTCTAGTGTACAGGAAGGATCATCCAAGGTGAATTGGTACATTCCCTTGATGGGTGTGCAGCATTAGGACAGTAACACACAAATTGCAGCTGCACTTTGAAACAAGTCGAGCTCCATACGCGTATATGGCCCAAACCTGCAGGGCTAGGCATGTTACAGAGCACACACCGTCATCTTCAATGCAGAGAAACCGGTTCAGACAAGTTGCATCTTCATAATTATACTACTGGATTCAAGTAATAGCCTTTCCCCCCAAATGGTTAAGTTAATGACTGAGTTCAAATGACATGCATTTATGAGAGAAATCTTAAATATAAACGACTGTCATCTCTAACTCCCCCAATCTGTCCCAGCCCACAGCACTCCACACCAAAAAGCCATATAAAGCAGTGTGGTTAAGTTACGCAATAGTGCCTTCACACACAGAATAACAATACTAGCAGGCCTGCACGATACCGACCTTTCACTTGGGTCTCATATTCAGCAATAATCTCTTTGTCCTTCTTGATTTTCGCCTGAGATGACATTTTGGAGAGATCGGATTGTGCAATCCTCGGGCAGGAATCGGCGTCTCAGTCGCCACAATGCAGCGTTTGCCGTGTCTGCAGTCCTCTCCGGATAGTTGAGCAACAATCAGATGCGAACCATCGCCCGCTTGACACAACTTCGGAGATTAAAAACGCACTTGAGGCTCTGCGAGGTTGCTGCTGCTGCTGCTGCTGCGTTCAAGGCGACGTCGAACCTAAAAGTGCATACTGATCTCCGACCCTGACCACTCCTCTACACCAGCACTCTTCTGTAAATCGGAAAACAACTCACGTTTGATGTACATTTCACTGGAAGGAACAGCTATGGCAGCCTCTGTAATAATAGCACTGAGCGCCCTCTGCACAACACTGTCCAGTCTGCCCTTTTTTTTCCTTTCTCCCCCCCTCTCTCACTCTCTCTCTCTCTCTCTCTCTCTCACTGCAAGTTCAATGCTGCTGCAGAAAAGGCTGAATGGATGTGAAAGTCAATATGAGACTCCTCCCCCAACCCCCTCCCTTCTTCACCACTTTTCTTCTCATGGATGATTGAAGAATTGTCTGAGTGAACTGATAGCAGACCTTAACCTGCCTGTAACATATGTGATGTTCAACAGTGAGTCCACAGCTGAGAGTAGATAGTTAGTTGGTGATCAGGATTTGATAGCTCTCATCAGCAGTAACATGAGACTGAAGCTGACTGCAGAACACACAGATAGCTGTCCAACAGTTTTTAGACAGTTTTTCCATTCACATTTAAATGTCTGGCTTAGATTATATATTGATAACTGATCATGTACATAAGTTATCCCTACAAAACACAATACTGTGGATGAAATATTGGCATCTTCATACTGTAATACAAATAAAAATGCATGCATTATAGTATTTTTGAAGAAGATTTGCATCTGGAACTCTCATTCTTTTAAATCTAGTATGTCCTCCATAGGAGACCGTATTATTGAATGAAAAATGATAAGATCTTTGTCTCATAATTATGAGCATAAAGTGATTAGTGTCAGACGTGATAAAACTATGGCTGCAACCTGCAACTAAGCCATTATTTTCATGGTTGATTAATCTGACAATTATTTCAGTAATACGCGTTTGGTCTATAAAATGACATAAATTAGTGACAAAAGCGGTCTATATAATTTTCCCACAGCCCAATGTGACGTCTTCATATGTCTAATTTTGTCTGAAAAACTGTCTAAAACCCAAAGATGTTCAGTTTACTATCATGTAAACGTCATGTAAGAATAACTAAAACGATTAACTGATTATCAAAAAAGATTTCGGATGATCGACGCTGCATCTCTGGATAAAACATCGTCAAAGTTCTGCTGTTCTGCCTGGGCCAGTGCACAACTGGTCTAGATATTACTGTGCTTGTAAATCAAATATAGATCGGTCACATATTTCTATCATAAAATCAGTAAATTATCCAGATTATACAAGAAATTTAAATGCTAGGAAACATACCCCAAAACAACAAATTGGTCTTTAAAATGAGCAAAAATGTACCCTATTATTGTGAATTATGCTCGAGTGAGAGAATTAATTGACATCCCAGGCATTCGTTTCTGAGTGGAAGAAACTGAGGTGTTACAAATAATGACCTGTGTTACACTGAACCCATCCTCCACTCCACAGTTGCAACATTTTGAGAAAAGATGATAGAGCATCTCCACGGAGGAAGTCAGAAAGATTCAATGTGTCATTCTGTACTGCTCATTCCTTCTTACTGCTCTTCACTTCAGTGCCGTTTTCGGACAAAAACTGTCAAATTATTATTTTTTAGGTGCATCCGTGTGCTACGTCCTTGCTCTTACAACTACCCAAACTGTGTTCTTCTTTCAAAGCAATGTCAACTGATGTATAGGACTGGGATAATTGAGCACTTTCCTTTTTAAGCCTTAATCTGTGCGAAGATTGCATTTTGAACTGTGTCAAGAGATCCCGGTCTGCCTTTGCACCCAATTCTCAGGAAATCTGTGGGCTGCTGTCAGCCTGTGGCAACTGTTAAAGCTGGGAGAGAGCCCAGGAGAAATCTGCAGAGGGAACCGTTCATTTCTCACCACACAATCTCCACTTCAACTTCTAATTTCCTGAGCAAATGTTACTCACCAAACCTTTGGCCGCAGAACGAGCCTGATAAAAGTTGGGGTGGGTTTGAAAGTAATGTGAAAAAGCTGTGTCTAACTAGGGCACGGAAACTTTAACACTATCCACTTATAGACCTTTACAGGAGCAATGATCATTACATGGTCCTCCTAGACAACATTAGGTTGCTTCAGGAGGCTAATAAACATCCCTTGCTGCAGAATTACAGCAGTCTTTATGGTGGAGTTAGTCAGGATTATGCCTGTTTACATTGTAACATGTCATTTCATTATTAAAGTATAGATGACTTTACATTGAGTTGCATGTTTATTATTTAATCATTAACCATTATATTATTAATGTTTAATAAAGGCTAATATTTGATCAATCTTCATTTACTCTATTGTCTACATATCATCAGATATCATATCATACATTTGTCCCTGAAGGTCCAGTGTTTAGGAGGATCTATTAACAGACACTGGATATTCACACTGTAGTTATGTTTGCATTTGTGTATAATCATCTGAATAAAGGACTCGTTGTGTTTTCATCTGTTTACAAACGCCACGGGTCACCTTCCATGGAGTCCGCCATGTTGAGCCGCCATGTTTCTACAGTAACCCAGAATGGACAAACCAAACATTGCCTGTAGATTGAGCCTCTCCTACACACTTCACAGCAAGACGCCACTAAATCCTACACGCTGGTCCTTTAATGAACTGATAACCTCGAGTTTATATTTCAGACTTTAAAGAGTAAATTGGGCTTTAAATACAATAAGTTAAATTATAAATTGCAAATACTATAATGCATTTGTTATAGATAATTCTTCATATTTGCAGCTGATGGAACAATGTGGTATATGAATACTGATATCTGAAGAACACACATATTTTTTAAGCATCCAACAAGAACTTTGGCCTCTGACAGTTATGTCCATGATAAGGACGACAAGAAGGTTATGTTGCATAAGACAGGGTTCAAATCACTAGACATTTAAATGTGGGTGTAAATGTTTTGAGACAAACTGTTACATGAAGTCATTTTGTTGTATGTGACCTTGTATGTGATGTTTGTTTATACCAGAGGCTGTTTGTTTAAAGCCATTTGGTTTACAGTGCACCACACCCACCTTTTATGAAACAGGCAATTTAGGGTCATTAACATAATAACACCATCACGGCTGAGACGCTGCCCCTATTGGCTGGTAGTACTGCCGGTCCCTTCCCTTCCTTTGAGAGATGTCTAAATGCTACATAGGGCCTGTTTGTACAGCATTAGATAGGCTAGTGGATATGTCCCTTACAGCATTTTATTCAAACACTTTGATGATAAGGTGTTCCAGTGATTTTACTGTTTCATAGTGTCAGTAATTCTGATATAATTTTGACATTGGAATTACCTTTATAGAGCATAAAAAACATGGTTACTGTTGTCAGTAACAGCATTGCCAGATGAAAAGTTTCAAGTTTGTTTAGTAAAATGTAAAATGAGATCTCATCTGCCTACAAAGCCATGCAAACACACACCTCTAACCTCCTCCTTTACATTCAAATTGTGTGTATAAAGATCAAGCCAACAGGCTATCATAAGTTCATCTTATCAGGTTTGCTATAACTTTCTATTATTTCTATCATATTTTGTATAATATTGTCGGTTGTGTGTGATTGTGTGTGTGTGTGTGTGTATGAACTTTCACAACATAAAGGCACCTCTCATTTGCATCACTTTGCCTTTATAACATTTCACATATTTCTTTGTCTTTTATATCATTTTACTGTTCAATATTTTGTTGAATATTAATTATTTTTTGTGTAAAATACAGCATTCAGCCGGATCGATCAGGAATACTGGAATTGTGCAATAGTAAGTACCAGGAATGTGTGTGTTTATAGCTAACGTTATATCCATTGTTCGTATACACACACACACACTAGCTGCATGACACAGTGCTTTTTGCCCATTCGTGCACATTTCAGTATAAATGTTTGCTGTAGGAACGGAAGTTTCCGGCTGTTGTAGCTACTCCGGTCAGTTAGTGAAGAGCACACGGAATGTTAGCACTAGCTACAGGCTAGCGGCTCCTTATGACTGTGGAAAGCCCCTTAAAGTAACTAACGTTACTCATTTAGTGCCAACAAAGTACGACAATGTCGTGAAAGGCTTCATTTTCACTTATCTTATCCTTGTTCCGCCACTCTCATTTAGCAACAACATGGTCGTTGTTATTTAAATAGTCCTTGTTTTTTTTTGTAGTTTAACTTTACTGTGGTTAGGGTTGTTAAACATATCACTGTCTTATTATCACTGACATTCCTTATGTGTATTTTTAGAGCTAGTTATTAATTCATGCGTGTTAATTTGCACAACAAAACCCCCCAAAATGTCAGCACTTAAGTTATATAGCTACCTGCAAGCTCCGCCTTATTGACGTGTTGAATAGTATCTTTTGTTCTGATTTGCATTTTCAGTAACAAATCGTACTTTTCTCCTGCTGCTGAAAGATGAGTCTACTGTAAGGGCATGACTCCCCTCTGCTGGCAGTGGACACACCAAGCAACAGGCTAAATATAATGTACCATAGTGCTTGCACCAGTCCTGTACAGTGAAACTCTGCTGCATATGTCATAAGAATCATGTTAATGCTGTTATCACTTTTATGTTCATTGTTTTTAATTGACATGCATTAGTTGGGTTATATAATTGTTTTTATTTTAGTAAGTTTCTCATTCTCTAGTAAGAATGATTAGTCACAGTATCACAGTAGGCTATATGAGGATACATTAAATTGAAACCAGTGACAGCTCATATGTGTATTTCAGAGTTACTTCAGAGTCAATTAATCACTAGTATCAATGTCGCAGACGACGTCATCAGTTGATGCTTGTGCCTGTGACTGTCTCTAAAGTCATTGTGAGGGAGGTAAAAATAGATATTTCACAATGTTAAAGAGACATTGACTGTTGTCATAGAAACATTTCCTAAAAACTGAACTGCACAGTATGACAGCCACCAAGAAATATGTGTCCTGACATCACTGCTTGTTTCACTTAGTAAAACATGAGCCCCTTTACCTTGATGATGTCAGTGCTGTGAAATGTTCTGGCAGGTGACTTTTCTATGCACTATGTAGGAAGTATCAAAGGCATTATTTGATGTTAACTAAGCTCTAAATAGTTTAAATGTTTAAATGGTGTTTTGAATCATTTCAGTCTGTGTTACTTGCTCAGGATGCAGTGGTTTTTGTGGCGTCTGTCTGTGTCTGCTGTATTGTGCAACACTTTGTGTCCCAAGCCACACCCTTCCACACCTCGTGACAAAT